TCTGTGTGTGTGTGTGTGTGTGTGTGTCTCTGTCTGTCTGTGTGTGTGTGTCTCTGTCTCTGTGTGTGTCTGTCTGTGTGTGAGCTTTATATAGTGATGAGGTAAAAAATTATCCTATGTCCAGCTGGCAGTCATTGTTGATATATGGGCATCTTAAAGAGACATCGTCACTTTACCCAATCAGGTGAGTATAGCTGGGTCAGAGGGTGGGCTCATAGGATCATCTGTGACTGTGACCTGATTGGGTCATGTGACTGTCTCTTTAAGCATCGTATATGCTCTCTATATAAATGAATAATAATGTTACTTTTTATATTCCTGGAATGTGAATAATCATCATTGTGAAGGATCAGGTGATGTATTCCCGCCACTGATGCAATATTCTCTTTTCTTCCTGCAGTGGTGAGCGGGGGACCCCTGGAGAACCCCTACAGGCTGAAACAGTTCCACTTCCACTGGGGGGTGAACAACGACTGGGGCTCCGAGCACACGGTGGACAGCAAGGTGTTCCCGGCAGAGGTCAGCTCCGACTCTACATCTCTGTGTGTTGTAATAATAAATGTCCGTTCTCTTAAAGGAGAACTCCAGCATAATCAAATATTATCCTCCTACAAGAGTCATGCGTATTCTTCTAGAATCTTGGTGAGCTTTGTGTATTTCTTCCAAATCTATGCAAAACTAGGAGCTTCCTGTAATAAAGACCAGTCACTGCTGCTGCTTTTTCTCCTTGTGCAGGGTGACTGGTCTTGTCTCCGCCCCCTCCTGTAATAAAGGCCGCTCACTGCTGCTCTCCCTTCTTGTGCAGGTTAACTGGTCTTGTCTCCGCCCCCTCCTGTAATAAAGACCGCTCACTGCTGCTCTCTCTCCGTGTGCAGGGTGACTGGTCGTGTCTCCGCCTCTTCCTGTAATAAAGACCGGTCACTGCTGCTCTCTCTCCTTGTGCAGGGTGACTGGTCGTGTCTCCGCCTCTTCCTGTAATAAAGACCGGTCACTGCTGCTCTCTCTCCTTGTGCAGGGTGACTGGTCGTGTCTCCGCCTCTTCCTGTAATAAAGACCGGTCACTGCTGCTCTCTCTCCTTGTGCAGGGTGACTAGTCTAGTCTCCGCCCCCTCTTGTAATAAAGACCGATTGCTGCTCTCTCTCCTTGTTCAGGGTGACCGTCTTGTCTCCGCCCCCTCCTGTAATAAAGACCGCTCACTGCTGCTCTCTCTCCTTGTGCAGGGTGACTGGTCTTGTCTCCGCCCCCTCCTGTAATAAGACCGGTCACTGCTGCTCTCTCTCTCTCCTTGTACAGGGTGACTGGTCTTGTCTCCGCCCCCTCCTGTAATAAGACCTGTCACGGCTGCTCTCTCTCCTTGTACAGGGTGACTGGTCTTGTCTCCGCCCCCTCCTGTAATAAGACCAGTCACGGCTGCTCTCTCTCCTTCTGGCTGTTGAGGAATATATTTAAATTACTTTTTTTTTTGTTTTTTTTTTAGTTCAGCTTTAATAACTCCATTAAATTTCCCATCTTATAGCTGCACCTCGTGCACTGGAACTGCTCCAGGTATCAAAGCTTCGAGGAGGCCATTATGGAGGAGAACGGTCTGGCGGTTATCGGAGTGTTTTTAAAGGTAAATCTGAACGTTTCCTCGCCGGTGATTTGCCGACTTGTCGCTGTTGCGGATGAACATTTAAATGTCGGTGTTTCCGCAGGTTGGCCAGCACCACTCGAAGCTGCAGAAGTTGGTGGACATTCTACCCTCGGTCAGATACAAGGTAAGTCCTGAGACGCCGTGGGAGGGTCTGCCGGTCATAAGCCGGCCATCCACCTTCCAATCTGATTGTACATGTAGTGTTAGGGATGACCAACAATCCAGTCAGGCAGGCCATTGCAGTACATGGTGGCAGGTGTACAGACCCGGGAACTCAGCACAGGGATGGTGGGAGCTCCTCACAATGGGCACAGAGGGTGTACAGACCCGGGATCTCAGCACAGGGATGGTGGGAGCTCCTCACAATGGGCACAGAGGGTGTACAGACCCGGGATCTCAGCACAGGGATGGTGGGAGACCCTCATAATGGGCACAGCGGGTGTACAGACCCGCGAACTCAGCACAGGGATGGTGGGGGCCCCTCATAATGGGCACAGTGGGTGTGCAGACCCAGGAACTCAGCTCAGGGTTGGTGGGAGCCCCTCATAATGGGCACAGCGGGTGTACAGACCCAGAAACTCAGCACAGGGATTGTGGGCACAGGAGATGTACAGTTGCATTGCTGTTCTTTTCAGGATTATACATGTGCAGATTTGGCCACTAGAGGTCCTCATATCACCACAGAGATCTGTTTCAGTGTATCAAATGTGTTGTTACATGTTATTCTTTAATGTTTAAGGATTTGATTCTTTTTGGATCTGTCCTGCTTTTAATTAAAGCTGAACCCCAGACAGGAGGAACACAATCCTACCATGAAAGGACTGTCTTACATCGTGCAGAAATACTTTCTATTTCTTTGTAAAGTTCATATTTCTATTTCTTGCCCCCCAGACATGTCTCTTCTGCCTCCTGTTTAGTGTATGTTCCGGCTTGTGTGACTGACTGGGTGCTGCTCTTCTCGCCCTATGGCTCCTTGTCACGCTTACCACCCCACCCCCCCTCTTTGTAGTGAACAGTGCCATGATGGCGTCACGCTTTCTTCTGTCAGTGGGTACGATATGAGGGTTCTACTTACATTCTCCATGCTCCAGCGATGTCCCAGACTTCCTCGGTGGTCCAGAAGGACGCTGCCATTCTGTCCGTTTCCTATGAGCCCAGCCTGCTGTTTATACAAACCCATCTAAACTAGCGTCCTCCCGTCACCCTAAGCTCAGTATATAGGGAGCTACAGCTCGCGGTATACTGAGACACCGGAGTGCAGCCCTGCTTAGACGACAGGATCCGCCCAGCTGCGTGAGTGACAGCTGGCTCTGCCTATCTAGAGGCAGCGCCAGCTGTACCCGCCCCCGTCCGTTCCGCGCTGGAGGATCGCAGCGGGGGGAATCCAGCCACTCCACTGTCACAGCTCTCTGCAGGGACAGGATCGAGAAGTGAGCGAACGCCGGTATGTGTTCGTTCACCTCCCGATCTACTGAGCCGACCTGTGACTGTCACAGGTCGGCTAGAACTATGAGGATGAGTGAAAATCACTCCCCTCATAGTTCTCCTTTTTAAAGGAGAACTATGGGGGTCAGTGTTTTTCCCCATAGTTCTCCTTGGGGTAACGGGAGGACACAAACTAGCGTCCTCCCGTCACCCTAAGCTCAGTATACCGCGAGCTACAGCTCGCGGTATACTGAGACGCCGCACCTGG